AATCTTATTGCATTTAATTCATGCTACTGAGCAGCAGGGTCTCCAACCCTAAGGTCTGGTACAAGAAAAAGGGTGACAAAAAAGCTCTTCAATGTGCTGGTGCCCTCTCTCTGTTCTGTGTCTTACAAGATTAGTGAGGGCATGTCTTCTGGGCCTCCCCATTGTAGAGGATTAGGTTTTACACAGCACACCTACCTTAGCATTGGAATCTCCTGGCGCCTTAAAATCCCTTCATCATATCCCTGATATGCCAAGGGATATCAGGCATCTCCAACTCCTTTTCAGTAGGCTATCTTTTGATAAATGCTTCAGTCAGCCATTTACACAAATTTTCGATACATTTTTTTCTGTGTGAGCTTCCATATTAAAGCTAGAATCTCCACTCAGAGGGTCCATATCAATAAACTCAGCTTGATCCAGTGCTGTGGGATGGTCTGTATGTGTGTTGCTGATTGGTCAATGAATAAATCACTGATTGGTCAGTGGCCAGGCAGGAAGTATAGGTGGGACTAACAGAGAGGAGAATTGAGAGAACAGGAAGCTGGGTGAGAGAGACACTGCCAGCCGCCATCAGGACAAGGAAGATGTAAAGTACCGGTAAGCCACAAGCCACGTGGCAAGGTATAGATTAATAAAAATGGATTAATTTAAGCTGTAAGAACAGTTAGCAAGAAGCCTGCCACGGCCATACAGTTTGTAACCAATATAAGTCTCTGTGTTTATTTGGTTGGGTCTGAATGGCTGTGGGACTGGCGGGTGTCAGAGATTTGTCCTGACTGTGGGCCAGGCAGGAAAACTCAACCTACAATCCAGTTTTATGTTCCTTCTACTATTATCCCACACCCTTAAAATCCATTCCACACACATTCCCCAGACTTCTGCTTGAATGCATTAGCAAACTCATTAAGCTCTTTCATAGTGTAGTGCACTTCCTTATGGACTATACTTTCTAGCTCCCCTCTAAGAGCCTGTTCAGCCTGTAGTCTGGTTCTAGGTACAGCAGCAGCTATTTGTGGACCCTGAGGGACATCAGTATGTCACACACACACACACACACACACACACACACACACACACACACACACACACACACAGAGAGAGAGAGGGAGGGGTGTAACATGAATTTTAAAAGTTCTCATTAAATAAAAAACAAACCAGGGAGCCAGATGTTGGGGTGAACGCTGAAAGATCAGAGAAACAGAACAAGCCACAGCCAACCTCACCTCACCAATTCCTCAGCTGGTCTTGTTTTCTCAGGCTGGAAGCCTCTGTGTCCTCATTGGAATGGATCTCAGCTGAACTGCTGCTAAAAACCTAAAAGCTTAAAAAGCCTCTAGTTCTTGGTCCTCACGCCTTATATACCTTTCTGCTTCCTGCAATCGCTTCCTGGGATTAAAGGCGTGTGTCACCTGGCTGTTTCCAGTGTGGCTTTGAACTCACAGAGATCCAGATGGATCTCTGTCTCTGGAATGCTAGGATTAGAGGTGTGTGCTACCACTGCCTAACCTCTATGTTTAATATAGTGGCTGTTCTGTTCTCTGACCCCCAGATAAGTTTATTGGGGTATACAATATTTTGGGTGACACAATATCATGAGAGAGAGAGAGAGAGAGAGAGAGAGAGAGAGAGAGAGAGAGAGAGAGAGAGAGAGAGAGACTATTAATGGAAGAATGGCTCCCAGGCTATTGTCCAACTAGTCCAACAATGGCTGTCTACCAATGAAGGTCCAAGAATCCAGTCCACAAGGCTGGATGTCTCAGCTGGTCTTCACTATATGTCAGAATCCCAAAGAAGTATGCTCTAACACGGTGGAGAGATGGACTTGCCAGAGAGACTGAGGGCAAGCAGGAAAAGAGGGCAAGTTTCCTTCTTCCATGTTCTCACATGTCCTGCCAGCAGATATGGGCCAGATTAAAGATGGTTCTTCCCACCTCAAAAGATCCAGATTATAAGAGGGTCTTCTCACTTCCAATTATCTAATTAACGGCCCCAGCCATGAGGCCAGGGCACTGGTGGTGGAAGAGACAGGCAGGTGACGCCCGGCCTTGTGGCCCTGGGCAGCAGCAGCAGCAGGCCACTACAAAGAACAGACATGTGATGGAGGGATGGGAAAGACAGAACAACGGAGCGGCATGTGTGCTATGAAGAGAGGCAGAAGTGGAGACCTGATGGCGGTGACAGGTGAGAGAGAAGGCTGAGATCTACTTGCTGGCATTGCCCAGGAGGGTCTGCTTACAACAGCGTGGAGTTTGTGCAGACACAGACTCAGCCCTGAACCTGCCCCCGGCTGCACCATTCCCTGGCTCTGGGGAGCAACAGAGGCCCGAGATGAGGAAAGGTTCACTTTTCGGATTGAACCTTCTCAAAAGACCACGATGTTACCGGAGGCCATGCTAGTCTCAGTAGTCTATGCTGCTGCCCCAGGCTGCAGTGAAACCTGAGATTCATGAGGACATGCAGTCTGTGTCAGTGACAGTGATTCAGGCAGTGGTGTGGGTTAGGAAAGCTGGCTGAGGCCACTGCATGGCTTTCCTCAGTTGATGGCTTGTGGCAGGATGCAGGCAGAGAAAGACTCAACCTCCCTCAGGAGGCTGGCCACTAGGAATCTAACCATGCTCCAGTGAATATTTGGAGCACACAAAATGGATGTTTTTCTATTGATGGGGTAGGTTACAGGGAGGGGCAGACATGGAAGACTAGGAGGTGAGCATGATCAGGCTGAATGATGTAAGATTCCCAAATATTGAATAAAAATAACTTAAAATTATTTAATTAAGAAAAAATCCCACAGGTGTGCCTAACCACTTGGATTTAGTTAATTCCAGATGTAGTCAAGTTGACAACCAAGAATAACCGTCACGCTTTGGTCTAGTATTTCCTCACCATGCCCCCTTTCCTCGCTTCTGCAATGGTAATGGGTATTCTGTGGCATTGTAAGTTGGAAGTATGTGATCTAATTTTTTTTTTTTTTTTTTTGGTTTTTCGAGACAGGGTTTCTCTGTGTAGCTTTTTGCCTTTCCTGGATCTCGCTCTATAGACCAGGTTGGCCTCAAACTCACAAAGATCTGCCTGCCTCTGCCTCCCGAGTGCTGGGATTAAAGGTGTGCGCCACCACTGCCCGGCTCTGATTTTTTATTTTACAGTAAAGAGATTGCCCGAATTCAGAAAAGACTTTGAACTTTGAAACTGTTGTGAGACTGTGAAAGACTATGGGGACCTTTGAAACTGGACTAAATGCATTATGATGTGGCTACAAGCCTATGGGGGCCAGGAAGTAGAATGTGGTGGTTTGAATGAGAATGTCCCCCATTGGCTCATTTATTTGCATGCTGGGTCCCCAGCTGATGAACTGTTTGGAAGGATTAGACCAATTAGGAGTTGTGGCCTTGTTGGAGTAGGTGTGGCCTTGTTGGAGTGGGTGTGGCCTTGTTGGAGTAGGTGTGGCCTTGTTGGAGTAGGTGTGGCCTTGTTGGAGTAGGTGTGGCCTTGTTGGAGTAGGTGTGGCCTTATTGGAGTAGGTGTGGCCTTGTTGAAGTAGGTGTGGCCTTGTTGGAGTAGGTGTGGCCTTGTTGGAGTAAGTGTGCTGCTGGGGTTGGGCTCTGACGTTTCAAAAGGCAACGTCTGGCCCAGAGTTTCTCCCTCTGCCCACTGCTTGTGGATCAGGATATAAAGCTTTCAGCTACTGTTCCAGTGACATGCCTGCCTGTTTCCTGCCTTAATGATCACAGACTAACCCTCGGAAACTGAGCAAGCCTCACTTAAATGCTTTCTTTTATAAGTGTTGCCTTGGATATGGCGTCTCTTCACAGCAATAGAACAGTGACTAAGGCAATGATCATGGATTGTTTTGAGAAACTGATCTACATGGATTCTGTTGAGAGAGAGAGAGATTGAGAGAGAGAGAGAGAGAGAGAGAGAGAGAGAGAGAGAGAGAGAGGAGGAGGAGGAGGAGGAGGAGGAGGTGTGAAGCAAAACACAGAAAGCCAATACCAACAAAACTATTTTTATAAAAATTTCTCAAAGATAGGCCATGTATATGCATTCTTTACATTTTAGGCCACTAAAAGCTTATTATCTCAGGAGTAGAGACTGAATTGTGTAAAAGATCCTCTCCTCACTTCCCACATGTATGCCACAAGAAGCTGTAATTACTCACCAGAGAGCCTGGCACACACTGTCCCTTGGCGTCATAGGAATAACCTATTGGCAAGTAAACAGAGCAGAGAGGTAGTGAAGGATTTAAAGGAGATTCTTAATCTTGTTGTGTGTGCTAGAAACCTGCCATTTAACTGTTGTGAAGTTAAAATTCAGCAGCATTAATTACATCCACAGTGTTAGCGATTTTCATTACCATATATCTGTAGTTTGTTTGGCAGGGCTAGGGCTCAAACACAGAGCCTCTTGCACGTTAGGTACTCACTCTACCACTCCATTTCCAGCCCTCAACACTGTGTAAGTACTTCAAATAAAAACGCCCCATTCCTCCTCATTTCTAGCCCCTAGTCCACCTCCTGCTTCTCACTTCTGTGGATTTTCCTGTTCTAGATCCTTCCCCTAAAGGGAACCAAGCAACATTTGTCCTTTTGTGTCTGGCTCATTTTCTTAGTGCCCTGTACTCGAGGTTTATAACATGGGTGGTACCAGGTACCCAACTCATGATTGTTTATGACTAAATCATATTTCATGAATTTATGGACTACTTTAAAATGTCTGTTCATCTGTTGATGAGTTATGGGCTATTTCTACCTTTGAGTAGTGATGCTGCAATGAATATTCATAAACACCTGTTCTAGTCTCCTTTCCACTTAGGAGGACATCTAGGAGGGGACTACTGGGTAATTTAAAAGAAGGCTTTATTTTACTATTTTTTTGTGCATGCATGCACGTGTACACTCGTGTGTGGAGGCCAGGGGATAGCCCGGCTGTCACTCCTTATGGCACGCTATTCATATTTTTCTTTTCTTCTTTCCTTCACTTAGTTTTTTTTTTTTTTTTTTCAGACAAGGTCTCTTATCAGCCTGGAGCTTTCAGCATACAAGACTGGTTGGATGGAACTAGAAAATATCATCCTGAGTGAGGTAACCCAGTCTCAGAAGGACAAACATGGTATGTACCCATTCATAAGTGGATACTAGATGTAAAGCAAAGGGTAATCAGGCAACAACCCACAACTCCAGAGAAGCTAACTAACAGGGAAGACCCAAAGAGGGATGCATAGACCGCCCTAGGAAGGGGAAATAGATGAGATCTCCATGAGTAAACTGGGGATGAGGGGTGGGCAATGGAGGGTAGGGGTTAGGGGATGAGAACGTACGGGAATGGGATGGTTGAGCTGGAACAGAGAGGGAGGGGGAATGCAATGAAAGAGATACCATGATAGAGAGAGACATCATGGGGATAGAGAAAAACCCAGTGCTAGGGAAGTTGCCAGGAATCCCCAAGGATGACCCCAGCCTGGGCTACTAGAGATAGTGGAGAAGGTGCCTGAACTGAACTGGCTTGCCCCAGAGATCAGATAGGTGAATACCGTAACTGTCATCACAGAACTTTTCTAGAATGACTGATGGAAGCAGATGCAGAGATCCACAGCCAATCACCATACAGAGCTCCAGGAGTCCAGTTAAAGAGAGAGAAGAGGGATTCTATGAGCAAGTGCATCAGGATCATGATGGGGAAACATGCAGAGACAACCAAACCAAACTAGAGGGAACTCATGAAAGTTGGATCAATGGCCGTGGATCCTACATGGGACAGAACTAGGCCCTCTGCATGGTGAGACAATTGTGTAGCTTGATCTGCTTAGGAGGCCCCCTGATGGTAGGATCAGAATCCATCTCTGGCGCATGAGTGGACTTTGTGGAGCCCACTACCTATGATGGGACACCTCGTGCAGCCTGAGGCAGGGGGAAGGGCGTGGACTTGCCTCTACTGAATGTGCCTCCCCATGGGAGGCCTGGCCTTCTTATGGGGGGGAGTGGGCAAGGGGTTGGGAGGGGAGGCTGGGCAAGCGGGAAGAGGGAAGAGGGGGATCTGTGATTGGTGTGTAAAATGAATGAAAAAATTTTCTTTAAAAAAGACATGGTTGTTAACTGTGGTTGGTTGATATACTATACAATAGACTCAAAAACGTACTCTTTCTCAACGAAAAATTTCTTCTCTTTTACTACTATCCATCTGATTTTATATTAAAATAGCTGCACATATTATTTTTCTTCAAGACATTGGGGACCCCTTGAGGTCAGGGACTAAATCTTGCAAATCTGGTCTTCTTAAAGCACAAAACAATGGATTGTATCTACAAGGTGCTAAATAAATGTGTTTCTGTTAGATTATAATCTAATCACATTATTTCTCCCTTCTCTTCCCCTCCAGCTATTCCTATATAACTTCCCTATTTTCCTTCAAATCTGTGGCCTCTTTTTTCACTAATTGCTATTATATGCATATATGTATTTGTATATACATATATATTCCTAAATGGAACCTGTTGAATTCATACAATGTTACTTGTATATATGTTTTTAATGCTCTTTGGCACTGGACAACCCACTGGTGGGCTCCTCCCTGGGGAAGAGCACCTTTCCCACCCCCAGCTTGGTTAGTAAAGGGTTGTGAGAATAGAAGGTAAATATCATTTCAGAGGCTTTGTGGATTGAGTTATATGTGAAAGCAGCCGGCCAGGCAGACTCTCTCAGACTCAGGGAGAGTGGGAAAGTGCACATACCGTAGGTCTTCCCATTGATAGAGCATTTATTGAAGATCATCACATTCTCAGTCAGAGTTCCTGTCTTGTCAGAGAACACGTATTTAACTTGGCCAAGTTCTTCATTGAGAGTGGTAGTGCGAGCCTGTGCTGGGGTGTTCTTTGGTGCATAATACATCCGTCGATCCCAGTTGATATAGTAACTGTTTCCCAGTCTTATTATTTCAACACTAAGGAGAAAGCAAGAAAAGAAGGGTCCTGGTCAGAGCAGGGCAAGCAAATATATTATTTTGGTTTCCTTCTTATAGGTCCATGATAGATGAGACTCTGCCTGTAAAAAGAGTATCTTCCCTGGGGACCTCCCTTCTGAAGGACTTTCCCACCCACACTAGCCAGCCCATTGTAACTCTGACCTGGACTACTAGTATGCAGTTTTCTCACCAGGACTCTGACACAGCTGATTAATTTGTCTGAGACACACTTTGCTTCCTCTCATCTTCTGCAATGTATCCAGAAAAAGTCAATTAAAAATACCTTTGGAGTAACAGTTAACTTACAAAAGGTTATGTGGGTGTAATTAAAAAGGTTATTACTGCTGGGCGGTGGTGGCGTACGCCTTTAATCCCAGCACTCAGGAGGCAGAGCCAGGAGGATCTCTGTGAATTTGAGGCCAGCCTGGTCTACAGAGCGAGATCCAGGACAGGCACAGTATTTATTAGAAAGATCTTGTTTGGGTCTTTACTGCTTAGGATAAAATCCAAACTCTTTTGCTTGTAATTTATGTTCTTTTGGCTCTAACACCTTGGTCCAATTTTGAGAAAACTTCCACACCTTGTACCTGTGGACAGCCCACTTACAGTATTCTTTGCTCACTTATTTTTCAAATAGAGTTGAGGATTACCTTTCCTGCAAACTGTCGTAAGCCTCCCTGGGCAGAACTAAAAACATTCCTTCTTAAAGTGTTTGTGATACTCATGCATATTTTGATTACAGAATTTGTGAATTGTACCATAATTATTTATTGGTTTCCACAACACAAGCAAGCTTCTCTAAAAAAGCGATGTCTTACTGCTCAGTTTTCTATCTCTAACACCTTGTAAAGGACTTGGCACATAATTGGTAGTCAGAAACATCATTGAATCAAGTAACTCAGTTATGGAGAATGCTTTCTGGGTTGGGATATCAAAGTTCACGTTTTAGGAGACTTGGAAAAGAGGACATGGACACACACACACACACACACACACAGAGCCAAAAATTAGTTCTTTGAAAAGATAAATAAAATTTATAAACACCTACCCACACTAATCAAAGGAAAAAGGAAAAAAAAACTCAAATTAATAAAATTAGAGATGAAACAGGGACTGTTACAGCACACTCCAATGAAAGCCAGAGAAACATACAGACTGCTGGCAATGGTCGAGATACAGCCCGAACTGACCTACTCTGGTGATGGGATGGCCAAACACCCTAATTGTCGTGCTAGAAACCCCATCCAACGACTGAGGGATCTGGATACAGAGATCCATGGCTAGGCCCCGGGTGGATCTCTGGGAGTCCAATTAGCGAGAATGAGGGTTTATATGAGCGAGAATTGTTGAGACCAAGGTTGGAAAAAGCACAGGGACAAATAGTCAAATGAATGGAAACACATGAACTATGAACCAATGGCTGAGGGGTCACCAACTGGATCAGGCCCTCCGAATGGGTGAGACAGTTGATTGGCTGATCTGTTTGGGAGGCATCCAGGCAGTGGGACCAGGTCCTGTGCTCATTGCATGAGTTGGCTGTTTGAAACCTGGGGCCTATGCAGGATTGCTTGGCTTGGCCTGGGAAGAGGGGACTGGACCTACCTGGACTGAGTCTACCAGGTTGATCTCAGTCCGCGGGGGAGGCTTTGCCCTGGAGGAGGTGGGAAAGGGGGGTGTGTTGGGGGGGAGATGAGGGGGGCAGGAGGGGGAGAACAAGGGAATCTGTGGCTGATATGTAGCACTGAATTGTATTGCAAAATAAAAAAAAAGTAAATGAAATAAAAAAAGTATATACTTATTGTCTTAGTAACTTTCTATTTTTTTGAAGAGACACTATGACCAAAGGCAACACTTATAAAAGAAAGCATTTAACTGGGGGCTTGCTTACAGTTTCAAAGGGTTAGTCCATTATCATCATAGCAAGAAGCATGGCAGCAGGCAGGCAGGCATGGCCCTGGAGCTGAGAGCTTTACATCCTGATCCACAGGCAGCAGGGACAGAAAGAGACACTGGGTCTGGCTTGGGCTTTCCTCTAACAAGGTCACCCCTACTCCAACAAGGCCACACCTCCTAATCCTACTAAGCATTCAAATTTATGAGCCTATGGGGGCCATTCTTATTTAAACTACCATGCCTATTTTCCAATCTCTCTCTCTCTCTCTTTTTAAATGGAAAAATGTATTCTGAGTTCTGCATAGCTGATATGAGAATGAATGTTTAGAAGCCACCTCATTGGTAAGGAAAGGCTGCTTGGTGTAGTTAGGCAATACCAAATTTGTGTGTCTGTTTACTAATTGTTTCATGTGTTTGCCTGTCACTTACAGGTTACAGGGCACAGGCTGTTATCCTTTTATATAAATCACATACTATCGAGCACAGTGCTCTAGACGCGAAAGACATTGATGCAGTTTTTAGATACTCCTCAGAGTGTTTTATACACCAAGACTGTGGAAAGAAAAGTGATTAAGAATACATAGTGGCCGGGCGGTGGTGGCGCACGCCTTTAATCCCAGCACTCGGGAGGCAGAGCCAGGCGGATCTCTGTGAGTTCGAGGCCAGCCTGGGCTACCAAGTGAGTTCCAGGAGAGGCGCAAAGCTACACAGAGAAACCCTGTCTCGAAAAACCAAAAAAAAAAAAAAAAAAAAAAAAAAAAAAAAAAAAAAGAATACATAGTGAGCTAGGAATGGTAGAGCATGCCCGAAATCCCAGTACTGAGGCTGAGGCAGGAGGATGTGAAGTTTGAAGTCAGCTGGGGCAGCATAGCAAGCTCTAGTCTTTAACAGAAGGAGGAGGAGGAGGAGGAGGAGGAGGAGGAGGAGGAGGAGGAGGAGAAGAAAGATAGTCCGTTCTTTCTGAAAGATCATACTCTAGTTGGTTATTGAAGCAGGAGTTTACAGTCATCCCTCCCCTGAACATGACAATCCAAGATGCCCACCTGACATAGAGGGAAATGGGAACCATGGTGTTGAGGACTATGAAGTAGGACCAGAAAACCAGGGCAGAACTTGTAGCTGATGAAGCAATGTAACGCTGCCATGGGAGAAATGCCTGGAAGAGGTAGCCTTTGTTGCTCTCCCAAATGCCATGTCCAATGGACAGCAGAAGGCACATTGCACCCAAAGCCAGGAAGATCTGTGGAGAAAACAATACAAAATGCAAAATATGAATTAAATGAACATCTAAGGACTGCGCTTCTTCATCCCACCTTCTGGAGTCTTAGCTCTACCGAAGTGCGTTTCCTTGGAGACAGGGAGACACTAGAGCAGTATAGGGCAGAGAAGGAAGCCCAGCAGGGGTCTTCCATGTGAGTTTGAAGGTAGGTGCTAACAACTAGAACACAGTAAGTACTGACTGATAGGAATCATGCCAACTCTTTTACATGTTGCTTAATATTGATGACAATGTCTGACAGACAAGGAACTTGATATTCAGAGTGGGAGAATGTTCTACCACAAGTCATTTAGATGCCGAATAGAAGAAACAGGTTCAAAACAGTGCCAGAGTCCAAGTTCTTAACTGCTCCAGTAGTGATGTGGGGGAGGGGGCTGTCACTTTAACACACTGAATTGTGTGGCTTTGGCAGCAGCTGGAGAGAGGATGGTGAGGAACCGAGAGAGTAAGGGAGATGGAGGTCATGTGAGCAGTTCAGAATCTGCTCAAGTGGGAAGGCGGACCTGGGTCCACTGAACCTACAGCCCCTCAAGGGCAGTGACTAGAAAGAATCAAAGTCTTGGTGTGCTGGCAACTGACACCGACTTGATTCCTTCAGGCTTACATTCAGGGGGGCTACAGCTGCGGCAGGTGGGAATCCCACTGG